TTTAAAGCTACCAAGAGCGCAGCCACTCATTGGCACAGTCTGTGGCCAAAGGGAAGATGAAGAGAGAAACAAAATGAGAAATGGCACAAACAATGATATTTTATTGTGGACAAGATGTAAAAATGAAAACAAAGAAAACATCCAAAATGAAACCAACAAGAAGAATCAAAGATGACTTTTATTACAAATGATTTGCAGAAATTGGCCTGCAGTTTAATGTTTCTGAAACCATCCAGTCATCAGTGTCCACACTGCAGCCTTGAGCTCCTGGTTCCTCAGGCTGTAGATGAGGGGGTTCAGGACTGGAGGCAGCACCGAGTACAGAACTGACAGGGCCAGATCCAGGGATGGGGAGGAGATGGAGGGGGGCTTCAGGTAGGCAAATGCTGCAGTGCTGAGGAACAGAGAGACCACAGCCAGGTGAGGGAGGCAGGTGGAAAAGGCTTTGTGCCGTCCCTGCTCAGAGGGGATCCTCAGCACAGCCTTGAAGATCTGCACATAGGAGAAAACAATGAACACAAAACAACTAAAAGTTAAACACACACCAACAGGAAGAAGCCAAATTTCCCTGAGATAGGATTTGGAGCAGGTGAGCTTGAGAATCTGGGGCACCTCACAGAAGAACTGGCCCAGGACATTGCCATGGCACAGGGGCAGGGAAAATGTATTGGCTGTGTGCATGAGAGCACTGAGAAAGCCACTGGCCCAGGCAGCTGCTGCCATGTGGGCACAAGCTCTGCTGCCCAGGAGGGTCCCGTAGTGCAGGGGTTTGCAGATGGACACGTAGCGGTCATAGCACATGATGGTCAGCAAGGAATACTCTGCTGAGATGAAAAAGACAAGAATAAATAACTGTGCAGCACATCCTGCATAGGAGATGGTCCTGGTGTCCCAGAGGGAATTGTGCATGGCTTTGGGCACAGTGGTGCAGATGCAGCCCAGGTCAGTCAGGGCCAGGTTGAGCAGGAAGAAGAACATGGGGCTGTGCAGGTGGTGGCTGCAGGCTACGGCGCTGATGATGAGGCCGTTGCCCAGGAGGGCAGCCAGGGAGATGCCCAGGAAGAGGCAGAAGTGCAGGAGCTGCAGCTGCCGCGTGTCTGCCAATGCCAGCAGAAGGAAGTGGCTGATGGAGCTGCTGTTGGACATTTGCTGTGGCTGGACATGGGTGTCGTTCTGATTGGGAACGGCTAGGAAGAACGACAAAAACTCTCAAGGGAGCTTCAACACGAGAATTCTCTGGTTTATTCCTTCAGGCCTGTCTTATAGACAGATACGTGGAAAGTACAGGAATGAAACTCTCATTGATTAACAAAGTGCTACATCACCATCATTGGTCAGGGGCACACAACCCCCCTGACTCTCTCCTGCAAGGAGAACAAGAGGACAGACAAACAGCACCTGGCAGTTGTTTTCTGTCTCTGAGGATTGTATTGAAATCCTCCTTTGAAATTCCCAGGCTAGCTTCTCAGGCAGGACAGAGAGGCCATGGGCCTACAGTTTCTGCAGCTCCCTGCAGCCTGTTCCAAAGCTAGCATCCATACTCTAACTAACACCATTTCACTCTCTCGCTGAAACCACAGCAGTGACAGCCCGACTCTTCCCCTCTCTGTGAAATCACAGTAATGACAGCCCCAAATTGCCTCCTCTCTGTTACACCACACCAATGTCAGGCCCAGTGTTCCACTGTCTAGGACACCATAGAAGTGTGAGCTCCAATTTAATCCTCTCTGGGACACCACAACAATGACAGCCCCAGTGTTATGCCCTCACTGATACAACAGCAGTGAGAGCCCAAATTTCCCCCTCTCTGTGACACCAGAGCAGGGAGAGGCCTAATTTCCTCCTCTCTGTGACAACACAGCAATATCAGAACCAGTGTTACCCTATCTGTGACATTATAGCAGTGTGAGCTCCAAAGTGCTCCTCTCTGTGACACCACAGCAATGACAGGCCCAAATTTCCTCTTCTCCCTCACACCACAACAGCAGTGACAGCACCTATTTCTTCATCTCTTCCACCACAGAAGTGAGAGCCCCAAAGTTCCACTCGCTGTGACCGCAGTGCAGTCACACACCAAATTTCCTCCTTTCTCTGACTCCACGGCAGTGACAGCCCCACTCTTCCATTCCCTGTGACACCAGGGCAGTGACATGCCCAATTTCCTCCTCTCCACGACTCCAGAACAGGGAGAGCTCCAGTGTTCCTCCCTCTGTGACAACACAGCAGTGACAGCTCCAATGTTCCCGTCTCTGGGACACCAGATCAGTATGAGCCCCAGAGTTCCACTCTCTGAGACAGCAGTGCAGCCACAGCCCAAAATTGCTCCTGTCTGTGAAAGGACAGCAATTTTAGGCCCAGGATTACCCTGTTGGAGACACCATAGCAGTTAGAGCCCAACTTTAGCCCTCTCTGTGACACCAGAGCAGTGAGGGCCCAAATTTCCTCTTCTCTGGGACACCACAGCAATGTCAGAGCCACTGTTACCCTACCTGTGACATCATAGCAGTGTGAGCTCCAACGTGCTCCTCTCCATGACAGCACAGCAATGACAGGCCCAGTGTTTCCCTCTCTCAGACACCACAGCAGTGACAGCTCCAATATTCCCGTCTCCGTGACACCAGAGCAGGGACAGCCAAAAAGTTGCCCTCTCTGTGAAACCAGAGAGGTGACAGCCAAAATTGCCTCCTCTCTGGGAAACCACACCAATGTCAGGCCCAGTGTTCCACTCTCTGACACCACAGCAGCGACAACACCGCTGTTTCTCTCTCTGTGACACCACAGCAGTGAGAGCCCCAAAGTTCCGCTCTCGGTGACAGCAGTGCACTCCGAGTCCCAGTATTCCCCTGTCTGTAACATCAC